CCCCAAAACCCCAAAACCCCAAAACCCCAAAACCCCAAAACCCCGTACAATAAAAGGATTTAGACAATAAAATTTAGTAGATACTAATGGAAAATCTTTACGCAATCCCTGAAATTGCAAAGGCAAAGTTCTCAGACCAAGAAATCGATATGCTCCTTGATGCATATAAAGCTCTCGACACTGATGGATCTGGAAAGGTCTCAAGAACCGAGCTTGTCTCTCTAACAGTCAATGATGCAGAAGCTGAATCTATATCTAAGATCCTTAAGGAGCTAGATTTGGATGGAGATGGAGAACTTTCTTTCGGTGAATTTATCCTCCTCATCTTGAATCAACAGGATGAACATTCAGCAGAAGGATCCTCTTCTCTTCTTAGTAATGCAGGAAAGGAGGTCGTTGAAAAGGTTTCAGGAAGTAACGTCAAGCATTCCTACAAAGTTGAAGAGAGAGAATGTTTTGCAAGGGTAATCAATCAAAGTTTGGCTGAAGATGAGCATTGCAAGGACATTCTACCTGTTGATCCAGATACCGAAGAAATTTTCAAGGCTGTGGATAATGGAATCATCTTCTGTAAACTTGTAAACATTGCAGTAGAAGGAACTATTGATGAAAGAGTCCTCAACATCAAGGATGATCTTAATATATTCCAAATAAAGGAGAATCTAAGCTTAGCCATTTCATCAATCGCTGGAATTGGTCTTAAAGTAATTGGTATTGATGCTGAACTCATTATGAAGCATTCTGAGAATCTTATCCTTGGTCTCCTTTGGCAGCTTATTAGAGTTATCTTGGTCAAGGACATCAATCTCAAGCATGTACCAGAATTAGCTAGACTCTTAGATGAAGAAAATGACGAGGAACTTGCCGATCTCCTTAAGCTTCCACCCCAGGAAATCTTAATCAGATGGATTAACTACCATCTTAAGAATGCAGGCTCAGACAGAAAAGTTGAAAAGATTGGTAAACCAATGGAAGACTCTATTGTATACGCTACTCTCTTACATCAGTTAGACAGTAGCTGCATTGATCCTAAAGCAGTGGAAGAAGAATCTGATCTCAAGAAGAGAGCCAAAATGGTATTGGATGCTTCTACAAAATTCGGAATTTCCCCTCTTATTTCTCCAACCGATATTGTGCAAGGAAATCCTAAGTTAAATACTGTGTTTGTTGCTGACATTTTCAACCATAAACACGGACTTGAAGAGCTTACTCAAGAAGAGTATGAAGCTGCAGCCCTTCTCGATGATGACATTGAAGGATCCAGAGAGGAGAGAGCCTACAGAATGTGGGCCAACTCCTTAGGAATTGAAGATTTATACGTCAACAATCTTTATGAAGAAGCCAAAGACGGATTGCTCTTACTCAAGGTAATGGACAGAGTCCAACCAGGAATCGTCAACTGGAAATTGGTCGAAAAGAAAGCAGGAACTAACAGAATCAAGAGACAGATAAATTGCCAGAGAGCTATTGAGACAGCCAGAGACATGAAGCTCAAGGTTGTCGGAATTGACTCCCATAATATCGTTGAGGGAAATAAAAAACTTATCTTAGCAATTGTATGGCAAGTTGTCAGAGTACACTATCTCCAACTCATTGGAACTGATTCTGAAACAGATCTTGTAAAATGGGCAAACTCTCTTGTCAAAGAAGAAAGCCAAGTTAAGAGCTTAAGAGATAAAAGCATCAAGAGTGGCAAATTCTTAATTGAAATCTGTGCTGGAATAGAGCCAAGAGCTATCAATTGGGATATTGTCACTGATGGAGAGACCAAGGAAGACAGAGAGAGTAACGCAAAATATGCTATCTCTATTGCAAGAAAACTAGGAGCAATCATCTTCTGTATCTGGGATGATATCGTAAAGGTCAACCACAAGATGATCCTTGTCTTTGTCTGTGCATTAAAGGATGTCGCCAGCAAATCAAAGAAAGGAAAAGAAGAAGAGAAGAAAGATGAGGAATAATTATTAACAATTAGTGATCTTTCTTTATATTTGCTGAAACAGTGTCAATGGCTTGAGAGCTAAATGGGGTTTTGGGGTTTTGGGGTTTTGGGGTTTTGGGGTTTTGGGG